ATTTATATTATGACTCTTTTGATGAAAATCAGAATGTATTTCGAATATAAATCGAGTGTTAATAAATTTTTTTTTTAATTACAAAAAATTGAAAAATTTGCCGCCCCCCTAAAATCTGCCGCCCTAAGCTATAGCCTATCCAGTCTAATGGGAAATCCGCCTCTGTGAGTAATCGTTTCTAATATCGCAATTTTATTTGCATATAAGAACTAAAAAAAGTGTCTAAATTTAAAAAGTACGTCGACTTATAATCGAATCATCTTCAATGTGAAAAGTTTACAATGAGTTGATGTAACATATAATTTCGGTTTATATTATATAATTAGCTTTAACTTTTAAGCCTTGATATTCTTTAAATTTTGATTATGAAGTTAATTAAGCTTTAACTTTTTTATTATAAAATAAGTGTATTATCATTTCTAATACATTGTAGAAAATGAACGTTTTTAACTAGTTATAGAAATAACTCAATCTTAAAAAAAATATTTATGACACATGTAATTTTGTAATAGTGGAAATAATTTCCTGACTGCAAAAAAACAAGAAATATTTCTTAATCAAATTTATTATTACAATCTATTTTCTAGTTTCTTGATTAAATTTAAAGCGTTATGTTGAAAAAAAACAACAAAAATTTAATAAAAGTTTTGGAAGAAAAGATTATTCGCATATTGACATGATTTCTAGTTTATATCGGGACAAAGAAGATATTGTGGAGCGAGACGAGGATGACACTATTGAATATAGTTTGAAACAGACTTGGTATTTCAAGGAGGAACAGAGCGTTATGTCGGACAACACGGAAATTTATTCGTTTCATCCTGTCATACTAGCAATAATTTTGACCGCTCAAGTAGAAAGGCCATCTGCAATGGGAGTCATTAGTACGTGTATTTATAATTTAGAAAAAATTAAAATATTTGTCTCAATTAAATGATAAGCAAATACTCGATTCAAAAATTTAATAACATTATTGGCATATGTCTTATTTTTACTTTGACTTTACTTTGATTTTAAGGATCAAGAATTTTTTTCAGTTTTTAATGTCATTGCTAGTTTTGGAAATTGGACTTTTATTAATTTTGGAAATTAAATATTTTTATCGCTGAACACTTGCTGAATGCTCAACTCAGTTGCGTTATTCATTTATTATTAGTATAAACATGTGATTTTAACTGTAATATTACTCATCGCATGGTATTTTCTGATTTTTTCTTACATAAATTCTGTAATAAATTATAATGGGTTTGCAAATTTTAAAAATTAAAAATATTTATTTATCGCGAGATAGAATCATTATTTATTCATGTTTACATTACTGATATTTTTAGGCAAAGCGGTAGACAGTATCTTCAAGAAACCAGAATCTATATTTATCAAAACTACTGTAAAAGATCTATTTTTTCATGGTGTAAGTTTTGATTGTACAGATGTAACAGATTTTGCTGGATCTGCTGTATGTGGTGTGTTGTCGGAACAGACAGAAATGTTCATCAAAGAGAGTGGTGAGGGATTACGTTACAGATTTGGTTATCTCGCAAAGGTGTGTTTTTTTCTTGCATTTTTTAAATGTTTAAGATCTCAAAAATAATTTTATTAATATAAAAAAATAATGAAGCTATTATCTACATACATTTACAGGCTGTAATGTGGAAACAGATTATATCAACGCTCAAAATTACGTTTTTTAAACTAATACGATTTTTCAGAAAATATTAAATCAATTTATTTGAATTTTTTTCTGTGTATAAAAATAATTGTTTATAATTAGGAGCGCAATTATCGCAATATTTTTAAATTAATTATTTTGTTACAATTGTTAAAAAATTTATAAAATGTAAAACAAGAAAAATATGTTGTATTTTGGTATACCAAAATTTCTGAAAACTTTTTAAATAAATAATTTAAATAAATATGTGCATAAGACTTTGGAAGCTGTATGTAATTGTTTCTTTTTTAATTCCGAAAAGCACAGGCCATATTTTTACACTTTTGAATAGAGAGAATATACATAATCAAATAGTATTCTTATATATTATATATTATTAATTATATATTATATATTATTAATTATAAAACAAGAGAAAGGCGCTATTGCCGAAAACTCATTGAAATATCAATTATTCTAGTATTTAGGATGTGCATATTTTTTTCATGTTTGTAATATAAAATATATTTTTGTGAATATATTTTAAAAAACTATTATTTTTACGTTTCAGAGAAATGGGTCTCGCTTGCCGGAACGCATAAAAGTATACCGCGGGATAAAGAATTATAAGGATGTGGGCCGTATGGTATCTATAGGAAACTTGTCGAAGTTGAGCGTGTGGCCCGGTGATCCGTGCAATGATTTGCAAGGAACAGACGGAACAATTTTCCCGCCGTTTCTCAAGAAAGAGAAAGAAGTCTGGGCATATTTCCCGGATCTTTGTCGAAGTATGGGCGCTTACTACGTCAGGCCAGGGAAGGAACAAGGTATCGGTAATAATTTTTTACAAGGAAATACTGACACTTTGAAGTGATTTTCTCAAACATCCGTTATTTGAACAGTCGTTAAATACAAAACATTAAAAATCAAATATTTTTCAAATTTTATATAATGCTGTATATCTACTCGTTGGCGATTTTCAACCATTCTGTATTGTGTATTTTAGAAATAAATTCTATTTGATAATATATATGAAAATATATATTATATGATAATATATATGAAAAAGATGATTATATTACATAATTTTTCAATGCAGGTTTCAAGACGCTGCACTATTCGTCAAATATAGGGGATCCGAATACGAACGATGATTTAAAGTGCCTTTGTCTTGAGTACGAAGGATGCATGCCAAAAAACGTATTCAACGCTTATCCTTGCTTAGGCGCGCCTTTCAGAATAAGTCATCCTCATTTATACATGACTGATCCACGATATTTAGAAATGGTCGACGGGCTAAATCCCGATCCCGTAAGTTTATGAAGCTGTTTCTTTACGAAAAACTTGTGAAAATAAATGCATTAGTGTATCATTTTTATCATAAAATAATCTTCATTATTTATCAATAAAAATTTATGCACCTGAGTGCAGTCAAACTTTGATATTTTTTTAATTTTTTTAATTACTTTACATTTGTATAATCAAAATAATATCAGATAGCATTAGATGTTAGAAAAGCATGATTTCTGAGGCGACAGATTCATAATGTTACATTGATATCGTTGTTCAGTCTTATTTTTTATTTATTTTTCTTACATAATCAAATAAACTAACATTAAATAGTTTTTTTTTCTAGGAATTAAATTAAGAGAAATGTAGAAAGATATTCCTATATTTCTTATATTTCTCGAATTAGACGAATAGTTTTTAAAAATAAAAAATAAATTATTTTACGCCAACAATCGCAATGGCTTGGAAAGCCATTATTATATTATGTTTAATATATAATATTAAATACTTTTAAATAATTTTTTTAAGAGTTTAAATAAAATTTAAAAAATATTAAATAAATTAAAGAAAATAATATAGAGTATAATTTTTTCAAACCGCATAATATGTTATAAATTATGAAAAAGTTAGAGAATTTTTTATAATATTTACGAAATTAAAATTATGACAAAATATGCTGTTTACAGGAAAAACATGAGATGGTTTTTGACTTTGACGCGATGACAGGCAGCCCGATAAAAGCATTCAAGAGAATTCAATTTAACGCATTAGTCGGACCTATTGCTAAGGTTAAACTAATGAAAACCTTTCCGGAAGCGCTCTTTCCAATATTCTGGATAGAGGATGGAATTGAGCTTGGCAGTGTTCTTATAAAACCGTTGAAAGTTGCGTACATGCAGATTTTCCTCGCAAAGTAAGTATTTAATTAAAATCAAATATTTTCTCATCGAATTAAAATATCTTGTATATTTTGTATTTATTGAATCATTCTTTAATAGTAGAGATTTTTCGCAAACTGTCTTTCTTATCGCCATCTGTAATAATCTTATTTCTATTTAGCACACGAAAAATTGCAGTTTTACAAAAGAGATTTTTTGTGAGATTATCATAACAAAGCTGCTGTAATAGTTTTTCTGATCGATCTTCTATCTGTGCAGGATAATGATGTGGCTTATGATGGTCGGTGGCATTGGCATGCTGGCCACCTCTTTAGCAAAGCACTATAAAGAAAAGAAGACGGAAGGCGAATTGGCGGATATGGTACCAAAAACGAGCAAGAATCAGAGCGCCGTGTCAGGAAACCAGAAACTAAATATCAGCGTCATACAACCTGGTCCAGTGCCGCCTAACATCGGTTAACAGGGAGTAATAATTGCTCGTCTATGTGAATGTTGGAAAAGTTAAGAAATAGCACTAAAAGCGTGAGACCAGTCGCGACGCTCTGAAAATAACAGTTTAGAAGACGTCTACTATTTTTATAATATATTTATTGAAAACATTTATTTATAACGCAGCGCATTTATTTATATGTAGCATAATTGTCGCGATGGTCTGATTAGATGAATAATTAATAATTACTTCACAAACGCGGATTGTGAAGAATAAAGATTACATAAGAATTACTCAGTCAGCAAAACGGTAGCAGTATGCCAGCAGATATAATCGTAAATTTACAGCAGATTTCGCTTCACTGTGTCCTCGTTAAGCTTCGTTTCTGTCAGCACGATGTGCCAACACAATGTGACAGCAGAAACGCGGCAGAAATTGAGTACGATCTGCCGTCACAAAGCAGGGTCTGCTGACAACAAAATTTAAAAAATGTCAGGCAAATGTTTTTATCACTAGACTATTTATACTTAAAAATTAGCATATTAAGAAATGTATTTTTCCTTCACACTAATAATCGCGGCCCATCTTGTAATGACAGAGCATACTGCATTTCTGCTGCGTTTTTGCTGTCATAAAGTGCTCGCAGACAAGTTTGATTTCTGCTGTTATATGACAGCAGGCTCTATGCAATCTTGGTGTGCATTCTGCCGACAGATTGTGTCAGCATATAATGTTTGAAATTTGCTATATTTATGCTGGTTCTGTTCAAGTTTTGCTGTATTTCTGCCGTTACATTGTGCTCGATTTTGCGTTTCTGACGGTATTTTATCTGTTTTTAACTGAAACGGCATATTTTGCTAGAATATTGATAGCATTTTGCTGACATAGTATGCAGTACATAAATTGCAAAATGTGTTTCATCAGATTTTGCAATTTATAAATAAAATTTTTATTGTATGTTGCATTTGCGTCAAAAATGAGCAATAAATCGAAATGAGGAAAATCAATATTGAGCTGCATGATAATGTTAGACAAATAAAACATAATTCCAGTGATAATAGAAGGAAATAAAGGAAATAAAAGTTTGATTGTGCGAGCTTATACCCAGATAGTGCATGAAAACATTAGATACGCTTAGGAAACGTATATGAAACGAACACGTGCTATCTGAGTAGATTATGACTTATAGCATTATGACCCCTTTTTCAGTTTTGCTTTTATATAATAAGTAATTAATATAATTTATTATTTGCAAAATTAATTTAAAAAAATAAGTAAATAATATAAAATATATATAACGAATAATTAATCATTTTGTGCTTGCGAAAATATTTCTTTGACGCTAATGTAACAATTTATTTTTGAAACTATTATTATTAGATAATATTAGACATTAAAGTTATATTATATTTTAATATTAATGTTAATTAATTCTAGATTGATTAATTTTTGATCGATTGAAATAATTACGTATATGTATATGCAAGCACCATAATTGCACGGGACTAATTAAAACAAAGGATTATTTTAAATGCAAATTATACTTTTATTAAATCTATTAAGATAATGTATAATACATAGACAGATTGCACTGATATATAACATAGCTATTATTATAATGCTGTGCTATTTTAATTATTATATATCTTTTCCAATGATATGTGATATTCACCAAAGATTTACTTAATAAAATTGAATAAAAATAGAAAATTTTAGTAATTTTAATTGTTTACTATTTTTACTTATAAGAGAAAATGTTTGAAAAATTTCGATAATTCGTAAAATTCAGCTTACGTTAAGATTTATTGATTAATACGTTGTAGACCTTTTAAATTTATTAATTGATTAATTAATTAATATACCATTAATAAATTATTAATTAATAATTAGTTAATTAATTAATAATTCTTATTATTATTTTTAAAAAAGATTAACATTAATTAAAGATCTTTTGGCGAAAGTTACAAAATCACATATTTTGTTTTAATTATTTCAATTATGTTTTAATACATAATGAGCATACTTTGAAAAAATTGCTATTAATGTGTCTTTATAACATTATTTTTTATTTTATTTTATCTTTAGAATAAAATAATGTATATTTGTTTTTTATGTTATTAGGTATTGTTTAGTGAAAATTAACGGTGCAGTTTTTTTGCATCTAACAGCATAATCCGAGCATCATTCCGTGAGTTTCAGCCTAGAATTCTCAGCATTACCGAGTCACGCATCTGCGAAGTGACGTAAATTGCGCGTTTTCGATCGCATCGCCGTGTCACATCATCGTGTCCGACTCTTGGCTCAGGATGTTATGTGGGAAAATCAAGAAGCGATGGGGCCGAGCAGGGTCGGCAGGGGAGTACGCCGACGCCGAGGTCTGGTGCAAGACATTGGTGTCATTATCGCGCGGGCAGTCCGTTCGCGCACGATCAACGGCGACGACGACCACGACGACGAGGGTGGTGTGAAGAAATCGGCTGAGTGACTGACAGGTGCGAAGACGATACTACACGGAGAAGGTCGAGACTTCTACCGTTGCGATTCGCGTTTCATTATGTGAATAATGTAGTTAATCCTCTCGATAGCTTAAGTATCCGCGAGATTTTGAATACGGTTCGCGTAATCTCGCCAAGAGAAAAAAGTGAATCGCAGTAGACACTCCGTGTCTTGCGCAAAGAAAGAATTATGAATGAAAGAGGATCTGTGTAACTGGAATTTTAAAGAAATTTATCGCGCGACTGATTTCCTTTCTTGTGGATTTTTAACGACCAAGAGGAGGAATGTAAATTACGTAAAACGAGATTTATCTGCGAAAATATCGATGAAACGGATCGTACGAAAAACGCTGATGCCAATATTCAAAAGGTCACAAGATAGCAAAACTACATATTAACATAGACAATGAATATTGGTACTGAAGGAAAATAATTATGTGCTTGAATTATTCATTTGTTTGGATTACAAACGCGAAGAATTACAAACGCGAAGGATTACAAATAAAAGAAGATTCACCGCATAGAACGAATTTTTCTCATGCACTTTGATTTTTACTTTTGATTATATTCGAAATGTGAAATAGAAAGTTTAGAAAAGTTAATTTTTTCCTTTATTTTATTTCTGCTATATTATGAGCAATAATTTTACGGACTCAGTTTGTTGTGTCTCAAATCAGCAGAAAAAATTGTAACTTGATAATAAAATAAAATATGAAACAAGGAATATCTATATATATTCCTCGTTTTATAATCTATTACTAAATTTTTTTAATAATATTTTTTAATTATAGAAAGTCTTCGTAAATATTATTACTTTTTTCTTATTTTATTCTAATTATGTTTCTTGTAAATATTGTTCCTTAATTTTTTTTCTATTTTATGCTTTAATTATATTCTTTGCAAATATTTTTTTAGTAAATATTTATATTTTATTACCAAATTTGGCAGTATTCTTATACATATGTTATTTTTATCGTCACACATATTTGACAAGATTCATTAATATTTTGTACATTGATAAACATAGCATTTTATTTTATACACATTACAGACGGAGTTTTCTTTCTCATAAACATAAAAAATGGATTAGAAAAATTTGAGAAATTTGAGACGGGCAATCTTGATGAACTTTCTTTTATTAGTGCAGTGAGAAAAAGTGATTTCTTTTTACGAATTATGTGGTGCAAAATTGATAAGCGAACATAATGGTCTCTAAGCGACGCGCGTACGACGTCACCGTTCGCACACTTCGAAGGATACATGACACTTTAAGACGCACGAAGTTGCTATACGCATTTCCGTTTGGAAGTGCGTTTGACAAAGTGCTCCGCGTTCTCGAAGAATTTAATAAGGTTTCTATCGCTTTAAATCGGCTTTTGACCGTCAAATCAGTGAGAATATAACTTGTAGGAAAATTACTTCTTTTTATAGGAATGATTATCTCTTTAGAATAAAAGCTTTAGCGTTTTTTTAAAACATTGTTTTAAAGTTATGCGATAGATTGTGAATGATCGATATTAATTTCTGATAAGTATGCACTAATACGTGATTATTATACTAATATATAATACATTCAAAATGTCGATTCAATCGCGCGATTTATACATACGTGTCAATTCATTGCAGAGCACTAAAATGGTGAATATAAAGAAACTCGGGATCGGCGGTGGATGTATGTTCGTCTTTGGTATTTTATTTGGTTGGTGGGGATTTCCAGCAATCCTTAGATCGCAGATTAAGAAGGTAAGCTTTCTTTGCAAATTTACGTTGAATATTTAAATCTCCCTAACAAATCAATTTTATATTAACTTTAGTACCGTTTATTAATTACACATAATTATTTATTTTAATATACGTTTTACAACATCAATCACTTATCAATATATATTATCAATAAGCATAACGTTTGCATAACGCCGCTCGAGTATAGTTTTAATGTAAAGCATAAATAGTTTGAAACGTTGATAACGATGCCGTTAAAGTAATAAAACTTCATAACGTTTTCTTTTGACTTAATGACATTGTATGCTGTATGTCGACCTATTAAATAATTGTAATGGGAGTCTCAAATCATCATTTGTGCAATAATTTAACGGAGATTACTGTGTTGCATTATTCTTGCGTGCTTTCCGCAATTAACTCAGGAGTGTAAGAAAACTTTCCTAGGATATAACAGTATCATCTTTTATAAAAGTAAATTATTGATTTTGAAATTTAAGATCTGAATTTTTCAATGTAAAACATTAACGTTGATATGCATTGCGCTTTATTGAAGGAAAAATAAACATAATTTTACGTGACATTTTACAAAGTTGTATTATATAGAGATAAAACTGAAAAACTGGTTTTTATTGTACACATTGTATTTTTTTTGAAAAAATAAGACAAAACGGAACTTGATCTTGCATTTTCAGCGCTTCGTGTAACAAATACAGCAATGTTATAGAAAAGATGCCGCAGCGTATTTTTCTTGAATTATTGCTTTTCTTCGAGAATAATTTGATTTGCATTTCTGTATCTTATAATCTTATTTTCGTGTTATGTTTGCCTGATATTTTTCGCAATATATGATGTAAATACATTTTCATACTTGCGTTCGAACTTATATTTCAGTTTTAAAAGTAAAACTTTAGCAAAGCGTACTGTATTTTTTATTCCAGCCAACTCTATTGATCTTCATTTTCTTGTATTCAAGTCAAGTCTCGGGAAAAATTCTATGTACATACCTGATTTAAGTAGTCGCTACAGCTTTATTAAATATCACAATATGTTCAAGTCATCCCGCGAAAATGTACGTCACGAAATCCTTGAACCCTATTGTCAACTGCTACCTGTTACAATGTATTGTTTCAATGTCTTGCTGTACTCTAGTCTTTCTAGTTCCAATTCTAAAATAATGGAATTACTATGATTTCTTGTCAGGTCATGAAATTAATGGAAATATTTACTGGCACACTGTTTTTGCAACGTTAAGACTATAATTTGTGTAATTTCCGTAAATTGTAGATTCTTTTTTAATTGCAAAGTTTGATATAGCAAAATTTACTAACCGCGAAACTCTGCGGAATAAAAAAAAGGGGAAAAATAGCTTATTTTCGAATAGTTTTAAGCCCATAAATAAATTTAACATTATTATTCAAAAAAATTAAAGTAAAAAAATTAATTACAAAATTATAAAGATATTTATCTAAAGTCTTACCTTCTTATGAAAATTGTTTATGAAAAAACATCGTTATAATTTATTTTTATTACAAATGTAAACTGACAAAATTTAACACACGTAGGCGATCGCGTTGAAGCCAGGCAGCGAGATACGCGAGATGTGGTCAAATTTTCCATTGCCGTTGGATTTTAAAGTCTATCTGTTCAACGTAACCAACCCTGACGAGATCAAGGAGGGTAAGAAGCCGAAGTTGCAAGAAGTAGGACCGTTCTTCTACGAGTAAGTCGCTTTGTGTGATCATAATTACGATACATAAAGATACAAATATTAAATTTTTGTATCCAATATAAATTTACATTTAATCTAAAATTGTTTCGCTCACCTTATTGTTATAAAAAATGTTGTTACTTTTATTGCATTTTTCTTCCCTTGATGAATTCGATTTTATTTCCATCGATCTAAACTTTCATTTAATCTGCAACAATTGAGCCTCTCTTAATCCTCGTAAATTTTCAAAAAAATTTCCGCATATTCGCTTCAGCGAGTATAAAGTGAAGCTGGATCTCGTTGATCGAGAGGAGGAAGACAGCGTCGAGTACAGCTTGAAGTCAACGTGGTTCTTCAATCCCAAGAAGAGCAACGGATTGACGGGCGAGGAGGAAATGGTGTATCCTCATCTCATGATCCTGGGAATGGTGGGAGCCACTCTGATCGAGAAGCCAGCCGCAGTCGGGATCGTCGGTACGCGATAGGTGTCGTTGTCGTTAAATGCTTTCAATGTCGCGTATCGATTGCAGCCGCGTATCGGCCGTATCGCACAGGGTCGACCGCAGACTATAACAATGCACGCGGAAGGCTTAAAGTGGAACGTAAGACACTTTACAGCGTGCACATGCACCTTCTGGCAAGAGTGTGAATTACTTATAAAGGCCTCTATTACGCGGTATTTACGCTGCACATGTCTTCTTGTGTACGTCGATTAAGTTAATCTTGAGAAAAATGAAAAAAAAAAGAGTTAGTCTCTCGACGCAAAGATGGCTGATTAATTTTACAATTAAACATGATCAAAAATTTGATTAAAATTTACTGATCTGTTTACTGTCTTTCGAATCACGTAGGCAAAGCGGTCGACAGTATCTTCCACAAGCCGGACTCGATATTCGTGAGAGCCAAAGCCAAAGATATACTTTTCGACGGTTTGCCTGTTGATTGCACGGTGACAGACTTTGCCGGGTCGGCGGTGTGCAATTTGCTGAAGACGGAAGCGAAGGATTTGGTGCCGGACGGAGAAAATCGTTACAAGTTCTCAATCTTCGGCGGGGTAAGCGGCTTTGATTAACAGAATTATAACCTTCGATTATAAAAGCACAATTGTAGACATATTTCAAATTTTAAATGCACGTACAAAGACTTCTAACAATATCTAAGCAAAACCATTTCTTTATTTTTTTTTATAAATATTTTTAACAGGAATAATTAGAATTTTTTAATATTAAATAGTGTTTAAATAATTTATTATTTTTGGAAGAGTCTATTTCTGGACTTTAAAGACATTTTGTGTACAAATGGATAAATTAATTAATTAATTAAATTTATTATTTTAATGCGACCTCTGGCGCTTCTAGCTTCTCGTAGGCATGTTGATGAACATGGCATAGATAAATCACGAGTCTAATTGTAAATTGAGAAAGAAGCGAGTTACGCATACAGTCAGTAGTGAACTATTATTATGCTGCGTCGAACGGCAATTCTGTCGTAAATGCAAGGATGGATGTCGTTCCTTCTTGCTGGACTTCATGTTTCTCAAAACTACATACGCGAAGGAAAAGAATACGAGAAAATAATAAAAATTTATTATATCGTGTAAATAAGAATACCAATGCGATTTTAACAGAAAAACGGAACCATCGCGCCGCAGCGTATGAAAGTTCTGCGCGGTGTTAAAAATTACAAGGACGTCGGCCGTGTCCTGGAGTACGATGGTAAACCCGCGCTAGACATTTGGCCGGAGGATCACTGCAATGCTTTCAACGGCACCGACTCGACCATCTTTCCACCTTTGTTCGGGCCGGACGACGACATCGTCTCGTTCGGATACGAGATCTGTCGCAGTCTCAGCGCGCATTACAAACACCATAGCAAAATCAAAGGTATGCGTTAAAATGCACAAGTAAATAAATCGCACTGACTGATGCACATACAAAACTCATGTACACTAATTAAAATATCTGAATTCGCTTATTGCAATTTATTTAACTTTTTGTAGAAATATATTCTTCTAATGATTTTTCGATTTTTCTAGGACACCGAAAGACGCGTATTTTAACTTTCTTTATTGTTTTATGATATTATTTTGTCTATTATGAATACATTTTATCGCGCGATATTTACTATTATTTTTTCAATTTTTTAAGACGCTTGATAACATCATCAAATTTACAGGTGTCAACACTCTTCATTATACTGCTGATCTGGGAGACATGAGCACGAATCCTATGGAGAAGTGTTTCTGCCCGACACCGGACACTTGCTTGCCGAAAAATTTATATGATATGACAAAGTGCCTGGGCGTGCCTATTATCGGATCTCTGCCACACTTTTACGACTCTGATGGAAAATACTTGCAAATGGTGGACGGTCTGCACCCGAATCAGGTAATTTGTCAGATAAAATTAAGAAAGAAATAGTTGCACTATTATGGCTAACATGAGAAACGCAATCACATTGTCGAATTATTACTAAATAAATTGAAAAAACCAATGAGTGAATGTTTATTCACAGGAAGAGCACGAAATCGACATGGATTTCGAGCCGATGACGGCCACGCCGCTCCTCGCGCATAAGCGGCTGCAGTTCAACATGTTCATACAACCGGTACCGAAGTTCAAACTGATGAAGAACTTCCCGGAGGCGTTGCTGCCGCTGTTCTGGGTTGAGGAAGGAATACTTCTCGACGACGAGTTTGTCAACAAGGTGAAGGTGGTGTTCAAAGCGATGGCGGTCGTCGGGTGAGTGTTGCAATTCTTGCAACAGTGTTTCTGAAATAATTATATTTGATAAAACACAGTTCATACCAATTTGCATTGTTTGATTAAACGTGCGATGTGAATAATATCAATTAATTAGCAACAAATTAAATTTTAACAACGCAGTATAAATTTGTCTTTGCTATAAATAAATACTAACTGCTTTTCAACTTCTTTCAAGTATGATTCATTGATGTGATTAAGATCAAACATTATCTTGACATTTTGGTTCGCAGCTTTTTGAAGTGGCTGATGGTACTCGGTGGGTTAGGCATGAGCGTCGCAGCTGGCGTGTTGCATTACAAAAGTCGCGACAGTGGTAAGCTGGACATCACAAAGGTCACTCCGAAAGGCAGCAGCAAGGAAGACGGCAAGGCGGACAAGAGCTGGCCGCCTAGCATGAACATCAGTACGATACAGGCGGCATCCGTTCCGTCCAGCCTCGACAGAAATTGAACAATATTAGCGAGAAGCTAAAAGATCAATATTAATATCGCAAAAATCTATTCGACCGCCGATATTTTCTTAACTAAAATTATTTTTAATGTAAATAATTTTTTTTTGACAATTAACAATGAAACAAAAGAGGATTTCGACGCAACTTGTTTATTGCTTCTTATACATTCTTCATTATTATTAACGTAAAGTAGTTAGCATTTTTCATTCGACAGTTGTTTGCTGAACAGTCAACATATTAGCATTTTACATTATATTCACATTCTCAGAGGTTCACTTCAGTCGAATGATATACTTAAATAACTATCGTTAGATCACTGAAGATGGTCAAATGTAGACCGTAATGTCTAAATATTTTATGTGAATGATAATGAAGAATGTTATAAGAAGCATTAAACATTTTGCGTCAGCTCGAAATCCTTTATTAATTCATTGTTAATTGTTTTAATATGAGCTTACATCTATATACTTTATTTAATTTTTTTTTATTTTCTCGAATTTACTATTCTACAAAAATAAGGAACACTTTTCAGGCGCACAAAATTGAGCAATTTTCAAACCGCTGAAATTCGGCAAAAAATCATTACAGAAAGAAATTAAGAACGCATTCCAAAGCTTAAAGTTTATATTTTCACGTGCTTTAAACTATTTTTTGAAAATTTTTTATGTTTACACTTCTAAGTCCCAAAAAAGAATATAGTTAGTTATAGAATTAAGAAAAATGTAAAGATATAAAATTTTTAAAAACGGCCTAAAGCAAGCGTGAAAGTACAAGTTTCAAGCTTTTTTTTTTTTAAAATGCTTTTTTAATTTTTTATTTACCATGATTTTTCGCCGAGTAACAGCGGTTTGAAAATTACTAGATTTCAAACGTCGACGCAGCAGAACAATAATGCGATCGACTGACTGAATGCGCGCCATTGATACGGCATCGTGCAGCATTTGTGCCGCTCAATTTTGTGCGTCTAAAAAATGTTCTTAACTTTTTGTGGAATAGTATAAATAAAAAAAAATAATTGAGTAAAATTGTAGAAAATATCTCAAAGAAGTTGAGTAATGGAAAAAGTATTTCTTAAATACTTTAAAATACTTACTTTAAAACAGTATGCATTAATTAAGTATGCATCGAATATTGCGGTGTTGTTTGTTAAATAACAGAAAGGCTAAAAAAGCGCGTAAAACTGTCACGCAAAACACAACATAAACCTTTCTAGAGCTGACATTTCAGCTTAGCAATTTAACAAATAACAGATAAATACATAAATAAATATTTTTCTCTAAAGAAAATCTAACTCGGGTGTATAAATGACAATCGTGTAGAATTTACATGATGTATGAGCCACTCAAAAGCCAAAGTGACTAACTCTATCAAACAAAACACCATCAATTTATTTTACTTATAAAAAATTAAGCACCAATCATGTACTTTGATATTAAAATTGAAAATATTACAAAAAGTAAAGTTAATCAATTTGGCTTCTGAACGGCTAACTGATATCTTTATGATTCTACATCAGCTAAAGCTCAGTCTCTCTCGTGTAACATATTTAAAATTAATTATTTTAACTACCTCCTTGTAAGAATACGTATAAAATTATTATTATAAACTTTTTGATGCACTTGTAAATCAGCAGTTCTTAATCTGCGATTCGCGGTTTTTGCCGAAATCCGGCTATTTAAACATATCGAATAAATTGTGAAATAATATGTATGATTATAAATTATCAAATTTTATTTTGCAAATCTGGCAAGATTTGGCTTTCAAAATTCAGTACAAATCCGCGAAGATTGGAAGGCTAAGCATTGCTGGTACAAAAAATATACACAGAAATTAATCTTAATGAAGAAAGATTAAGATTATTTAGATGTATAAAGAGTTGAATTATTTTCTAGTTAGTATTTCTAGTTAGTTTAGAATATTAGTGATAATTATTATCATCTACCTATACGCAGAATGAGTGGAAATAGTAGACGCCATCGAAGAAATAAATTCATACATCTCTTTATTTAATGTTTGTATGTCAAAGTAAATAAAATTATTTTAAACTATACTAGAAATTTAAACATTTATTTTTCAAAAATAAGTCAATAATTTTAAGTACTCAACGATGATATTATTTTATGACAACAAAAAAAAAGAACATTAAAGCGCCAATAAGATTAATTTTTATTATTGGCTGTGTATATAAAAACAGATACAAATTATACAACATTTATCTATTATATTTATCGTTACAAATATATAAAATTATTTATCGCAATTTGCAACCTTAATTTTAATTCTCTAACTAATTCGGAATCGATTTTTTTAGCGAAAATGGCAAAGATTTTTATTTGTCACCTTTTTAATTTTTATTAAATAATTCACACATTTTTTGAGTAAACTGTAAATTGATATTCTGTTAAAATACAGTCTATTTAAAATTAACTGAAGATTATTTCTCTCTTATTTGTTTCTAATTTTGATTGCGCAAAGCTCTACTTTTATAATCGCTTATAATCGCGGAAATTGCCGTGATATTTTTGTTCAGAATAAATCGATTCCAAATTGATCAGAGAATTTTTTTAGAGGAGATCTCTGATGTTTTTTAAACACAAATTAATTAATCAACTTATAATTGATTAACGTATAATTTTTTACTACATGTTATTATTATTGATTTTTATTCTTTATTCACGCGCTTAACTGGGCATTAACAGAGCCGGCGGTCTTCTCTTGTTGACTGCCTGCTCATGCTTGCACAGCAACACGTACTTATACGCGCTTCTGTACTCGGAACTCATCACGACATAAATGACTGGATTAATGCAAGTCGTCACATAAATAAGTATATAGCCGGCTATGTTGAGGCCTCGCCAGTGAATCGCGTCGTGAAAGAGCTTGGTGACGGTGATCGGCAGATAGCAAACCAGAAACGACGAGAATATCACGAGGATCATTTGCAGTAGCTTCCGGTCCTTGGCGGACATCCTAGGTGCGGCCGATTCGCCGTAGCGCATTCGACCGATGCTCTTAAATTTCGATTGCCGACGAAACGCCCTCCTCGCGGCGGTTTGGTTGGGCGACTGCGATCTCGAGTTCACTAAGATTTCCGGCCGATCGCCGCCACCGGTCTTCTGCAGCGACGACTCCACAATGAAAACGCGATCGGTCAGCTTCTCCAGCCGTCCGCAGGAGTTCTGCGACGACTTTCGCTGCAGCTCGCACTGGTTCCTGTTCAGAAATACATTTTCCGTAAAGTCGGATTCGTCCGCGAACGGTATGTCCTTCACTAGGCTGGCCTGAAGAGGATCGCTACTGGAGTTTGGATCAAGACGAGGTTTGGTGTTTGTTACATCATCTGTACACAGTTTCGAGCCATTTGTCTCTTGTTGATCGTAAATCGGCTCCTTAGAGCATGACGAATCGTCATTGGCGGATGTTGATGGTAACTCGAGATCCGTTTCTTCGTTTGGAGAAAGAAAATCTGCTTGCGGCGAAGCAGCGTAGAGGACGGAAAGCTCTTCCTCCTGATTCCTGCATATAGATTGTTGCTGTAAACAAGTAGTTATGATTAGCTAGAATTTAAACAGCAGTGTGATACAAAAAAATACGCAATTTAATACAAATGCAAATACATTGCATTTCTTCTAAATTGATTTTTGTCGTAGAAATAAATAAATAAATCTTACATCATGACTGGTTTCTGTGGGTTCCACGTTGAGGATTTTGCCTCTGCTCTTCGAGGCAGTTCGGCGAACGATGTAGAAAATCCTGGCGTAGCAAACAATAATAGCGAGACACGGTACCAAAAACGCAAGAACAAAGAGGAACTCTTTTGGGCTGCGTCCGTTCACGTCCGGCAGGATCGAGCAGGATCCGATCGCGGGATCCAATCCGAAACGTCCGAAGCTCTCGAACCACGTGACGATTAGCACGCTGAAAGCAATGATCCATGTCGCCAGGACCATCGGTATTAAGTACTTTGTTTTATATAATCTGAAAATAATAATTAACAATTAAGTTATACAATTATTTTGTAACATATAAAAAAAAGAAAATTAATTTTTAATGTAAAAAAAGATAAAAATTTTTTTTAGATTAGCTTTTCGAACAAATTTAAATTTGGAGGTTGAGAAATTTTGATATTTTATCGTAAAATTATATTTATCTATTTTATTCTTTATTGAATTTATCAAGTACGTAAAATAATTGATGAAAAAGTGCAATTTTATTAGAGAAAAAGCTGCTTACGTAGAATAGAGGCCGGGATGACCGATCATGACGTAGCGATTGATCGTGATCGCGAGAATGCTGAAGAGGCTGACGGCAACGAGGCCGTACCTCAAGAGCGGAAACAATCGACACAGAAGTGGACCGTATAGCCAGGAAGTGTGCCAGAACGTCGAAGTTGCGAGCGGTAGATTAAAGCAGCAAAACATCAAATCTGATATCGAGAGATTCGTGATAAAGATCGCAGTAGCATTCTTCTTCAACTGCAAAGTAATTAATTATTTACACAAAATTATAGAAGAATATATAGATAATTATACAATAATAATTGTTAAATTGCTATTATTTTTCCATGTACCGATTCTATTTTGTTAAATAGATGTCTTGTATATTGTTTGAAATATTCAGTATTTATAGACTGCGCATAATTAGATTATTACGATTAATAAATGTTTAGAAGCAATAAAGAAGCTATGGAAGCGTGAAAATTAGCTTATGCAGCTGTCGAATAAATCCTTTCGAATTTCTCAATGTAAACACGATGAAGTTGATGGGAACTTCCTGATTTAATTCTAGCTCGTCGATTATATCGGAACAGGGAGTACGTGAACCTTAGTGAAAACACACGATTGTATATGCACGAGATTCTGCGTAATAGATTCCAAACTTAACCCATTGACGATCGAATTTGCCGTGAAAGCTCGTTTGTTACAAAATCGTGCCGATGACCTCGTTCGTTAGATTGTGTCATCTTTGATTTTCCAGAAACTAAATATACTTCGCAATTACGTAATGAAACAATTTTTCGTTATACTTCAGAATAACGTCTTTCATATTTATTTAATCAAAGTTAACAAGATAAAAAATTTGTCTTATTTGAAATAGAAATGTTTTGTGAACTATTTAAAAAATTGTAATTGTAATATATTGTTTATGATATTTAACAAAGAAATAGATTTTTCTCCAGTAAAATATCGAGAAAAATTGTTATTATCGCATTTTAGTTTTCATTATCATTTATTTTATTAGTTTTCATTATCATTTATTTTTGCAAAGTAAAATTGTACAAAAATAAAATTTACTTAACTGAAGAATAGAGTTCTGTTGTTTAATTGTGAGCTTGTTTGTGGAAAGTTTCTTTTTTAATTCGCTTACACCTCGAAAATTATCGGCATTTCAACATTTTGCTGAGGAAAAATCGATTCCAAATTGAATCTATCACTGAAAAGACATCCGTAAGTTTTTGATTCTGTATCTTGCATACGCGGAAAGAACACTTTTACTGAAATCTCGATTTTTTCATATCGCAGCAAAAAGTTTTGACGATTCATCGATCAAGATCGAGTGTTTCATTGATAAATTTTGAATGTCCAACAAAATTTATGTTCAGATCTGTATCTAGCACAATTTTTAGATCTTTCAGCAAAAATGTTCTTTCCGCATAGTACAATAATAATATAATATACGTTCGAAATAAGCAGAAAATAATATAATATTGTTATAGTGAACAAATTGTGCTTAAAGTGCATTCAAACGGAAAATATTTCGTGCAGTTTAACGTCCTCGTTCATTGTGAGCGAGATTAATGCCTTGTAAAACTAAAGAGGTATAATGACTCAAGGTAAACCACTCAAATTGCTTTAAAGATTTCTGCGTGTAAACATTACTGGAAACTTGAGTAGTCGGAGCACTGTGCGTAACACGAATTCTGTCATGCACTTAGACCCTTCCGTTTTACAAGTCGCGAAAATTGCTACAAGTAACGCTAACAGCTCTTGTAGATCTTCTACAAAAATTGCATTACTTGTACATTTTGCACAGCCGAGCATTTTAGAATATTATTCACTATTGAAACTGCCATCATCGTTCCTCTACGAACTGTAATTATTCTTTTACGAATTGTTATCATTCTCGCAAAACTCGCGTCAGTGAATTTACCAGTAAATCATCAATTTTTGTCTCGAATCGCTTTCAGACGTTCACTCTCTTCGTTATCTTATCATTATCGTGTGAGCTACAGTTACACAGGAAGGATATATGAATACAGTTCTAATTACGGACCTTTTTAGTGCGAAACAACGCGATCACCGTGATGAAATTTCCCGGAATGCCGATCAGCATGAAGAGAATGCAACAGGCGGCGGCGAAGTACAGCAGCCACCGTGGGTAGCCGACGAAGAGAATCACCGATCCCGGGTCTTGCAGCATCTCCTCGATCGCCACGTCGCCGCTGCCATTGCGCCCGGTCTCGTTGCTCGCCATCCACCAGTACTCCAGCATCTGCGGAAAGCCGAACCCCACGCCGTTTGTGCGTCTATGGATGCCGTGTGTCAGTGCCGTAGGTAGAACCGTGACGTTTGCATTCCGCTGTACGCGAAATAAGGATTCCGGTATTCTCTGGAGAAAATATATAATTTACTATTAACAATTGTTACAATTTTTATCGTAGGATTTGCAAGAATAGCGACAAGTAAAATGCCATTTGTTTTTTTCTTGAACGAGAAGATTTTTATTTATTTTTATTCGTGTTTTCATCTCTCGATTCCTCTTTCGTGCTGTGCATTAGGATATCATCTGTCAAATGGCTTTCGTATTTGCTATTTTGCCGGTGCGAATTTTACGAGATTTACACGACGCTTGTGTCGGATCCAGTGCCTCTTTTTTCTTCGGATGGTGCGTCGAAGAGGAACAGAGAGATCTATTTTCGCCGCCCGAGACGATAAACTCTTTCGCCGTAGCGTAAACTTTCAGACGTTTCTATAGCCCGCGCCGGCTTTTCTTAATCCATAGTCTTGCGCATTGTCGGTAATCGACAATATAGTCTCTTATAGTCTTTGCAAGTTATCGTTGACAAGCAGATTTATATTTACGTGTTAATTAGAATAATTTTGTCAATATGTTTCAGAAGGAACAAATGAAGCAAAGTATACTAAGTGTTCCAGATATAAAATAATTCGCATAATTTCGAGTCAAAAACTGTTTAAAACTTTTTATTTTACGTTTTTGTTTGTATTTTACGATGCTTACCTTTGCAAAGATAAAAGATGTTTTTCGTCTCATCGATGGCGATCATTGATAATGATTCGAGACCTCTGTGGCGACCTTTTCTCGTGGCGACCTTTTCTCTTCGACACCGAGACGGTTTCGTTGTGACTCTGATTTATTCCTCTTCTTGTCAATTCTCATTTTGACCTCGGCATTACAAAACCAAATTGCTTTTTCTGAAGATTTTGTAAATATTGTCTGCGATCGCTTTATTGCTTGTAGTTCTTCGACTCTCTTAAGACACAGATTTGCAATAACAAAATTTAACGAGAAGACATATTTAAGATGATTTAAATTTATAAAAAACCATAAGATAAAATAAAATTAGCTGAGCGTATATGCGTAAAGCGAAGCAATTCTGGCAAAATTCGCGAATCGACTGGCGGAATTATTAGCAAGAATCGTGCACAAGAGTACGCATTTTCGCAGATGCCGCGCCTGCGCCAAATTCGACTTCTTCACAATATTGAGAAAGTTTCCTCTTGGAAATTGATTCAGTATCAAGATCGATAAAGATTATTTCTACGTAAAGTAGTGTTTCTAATTCGGATTCCCTTTCACTGATTCTTCTGTTCGTTAAAACGTTGAAAATACAACTAGACCAAGTCATATAAGAAATATTATCTAATTAATTAAATAACATAGTATAAAAATATTTTAGAAATAATTAATTGTTCTACAAAATCAGGCGAGTATCGAACAGAAGCGTCGCTGCGATCAACAAGCCAGCAGGCTAGCCTTATTATAAACAATTTGTTGCACAAATCGGGTCGTCGCACATATGATTGACGGCGTGATAGCGAAAGTGTTAAATGGTGCCATCCAACCCCACGTCATCCCATCGCCGATATGACACTTACAGTTTAGCTAGAGCACCTACGTGCCCGATCGCAGCGCGTACCGTCCCCTGGAAACTACGGCAAGCGTCCCTACATCCTTTTTAAAAATAATTGCATTTTGTTAGTAGCGCTCGCTGCAGAGGGGAAGAGCCTCCAGCTGTGTACGAACGTTCGCGCGAGCGGAAGCGAGCGAGTCGGAAGCGCATTTCCACGGTTCGCCCCTCGTCTCAGTTTGGGGATCGCTGAAATCTTCAGCCGCTTTTGCATAGAAAAATATTATTATATTCCGTCGCGGCAATTTAGCACTCGCGTTCTTTTAAGTCCTAATTTCTAATTGATAAAGTTTGCAGAAAAATCTGTAGCCAAAATACCGGCTGGTTCAGTAATTGTATTTGATATTTAGTTGATTTATTAATGTCATTATTTTTTAATGGTAGATTTTTTGCTAATTTAAAATTGATTTTTTTTAAACAAAATCTCTCTTCCTTCAAACAGTTACAAAATTTTCGACAGCTTGATTGATTAAAAATCGAGATTTTTCCACTTACATGCTTTTACACAATTTTTTTTCAAATTCTCTATGCTAAATAATTTCGTGATTATTGACATTTTTAATCTATCATCGTGGCGTATCTGCAGCCGGAAGAACATCCGGTAGATCTAGGGCACCGCGCGCACGAGTATATTATTAACACAATACATATGAATGTATCGATCAATATCGCATGTGACAACAACAGATCTATTGTGCTAAGAAAATCGATTTCTTTTTAATTACGCATCTAGGATATAAATTGAAAAGAGAGATGCAGCGATCAGATTAATTCCGGGCAATCGAGCGCGGGTGGATGCGGGTCGCCTGTATGATGCGTGAATCCAGCGAGACGTTCGATTTAGTCATGCTAATTAATGCGGCTGGTCGGTTCCGCTTCGTTGAGTCTAATTCACTCTCGCGCCCATGCCTTTGGTTTGCTTACGTAATAAACACCGTACACGCGCGCGATCTTATCGGCGCGTAGAGCTCTCGCGGTCACACGAGTGCAAATTCTTCTGATCGTAAATTCACCGAACACGGTATTCCCTGCCTACATCCTGGTTTATCCTTCCGTCTTATATACCGCATTTCGTCACGAGATAGTTCATTTAAATTTATTACATGTAACATATTTCTATTTTTGCACACTTAGCTTCCTTAGCTTTTCGAACAAACTTCTCTTTGAAAATTTTCTTCAAAAATGTTTCGTCGTATATTGAATTATTTGCGACAGATTGCACCTCTAATGGAGACACAAAAATGAAAAGAAAAATCGCTGAAAAATTAAAATATGTTGATAAGACCTCTTTATTCAGAATGAAGAAAAGTGTACTTCTTTTTGTTTCTGAAATGCCTCCATGCGTCAAGGAAGGCTTTAAGAAACAACAAGTCGATCAAGGCTGCTCGCAATTTACATTCTCGCTCCGAGTTTTGCAAAAACGAACAAAAGAACGCGATGTATCGCAATTGCAGCACATTCCGCGCAATTTAAGCGGTAGCAGCGCGGTATGTGTCACAGCGAAAAGGTCAACCGGGTCCCCCGGGTCTCGGGTGCAGATGTTGCTCTCGCACCGCCACGCTTGTCATCGTGTGCCCACACCGGGTATCCGCTCCCCCGCGCTCTCCCTCCCCCGTCGTCTTTTCCTTTTCCTCCTCCTGCGGCCGCCTACCCGCGGGGCCCGTATCTAGCGTGTGTACAATCTGACGGAATGCTTGGGTAAGCAGCAGTCCATCCACGGTGACGCTGACGCATACACAGTGCCCGCACAACGTGTTCCCGCTCAACAACGTGGTCCCCGATGACCGTCGCTTCGCTTCTCCGGAGAGCTGCTCCTGATCGCGCGCAGTCGAAATCGCGAGTCGCCGCGGGAAATGTCGCGATCGCATTCGCGCAGTGTCTCTTCGATAAAAGAATAAAATACTAATTTTAAGACAGATTGCGAATCAAAACTGCAAAAAATATTGTGACCGTCCTCTCGGCGAATATTATTTATTTTAAAATAACAACTTCAAGCTTCGATATAGTAATTAATCGGAGTAAGTGAGCTCTCGTGAATGATAGAATTAAATGAGTCGCACGGTCAGCGAAATTCGATAGCTTTTTTGAAAGGAATTGTGTTAAGTGAACTGTGCAGAAATCAGCGAATTTTGCGAAGTTAAATTTTGATGAACAAGAAAACGAGATACTGAGAGAAGAAGAAACGAAAAAGAAGATAACTCATAATCAAGTTTCAACTAAAGTGCCAATGAAGACTCATATTTGTTGAGCGATACAAGTTTGTGCTTATCAATTAAACGATCAATGAGAATTGTCGCATTGTCCGAGACAACTGTTGAATAATTCTCAGTCCGATACATTGTAAACAACTTCAATCGTTTCTCGCAAAGAAGAAGGTCGTCGTTGAATCGAGCATTCCCGTCACACACACTCTTCAGTCAGCAAAAGTCATCAGTTTATCCTCCCGGCTCTTCTGTATCCGTTGACAGGCTTATGGGTGGTCTGAAATAAGAGGAGTGGACGAACGGTAGGTGATAATTATCACTTTCCCATTTATCTTCTTCTCTCTCAGCACAATTTCAGCACAGTCAGGTGTATTCAAATAGACTTATATTCTAAGATCAGATTTCCTCTTAGAATTCAATCGGTAAAAATCTCGTTTTTAAAAAAGAGAAGAAAGAAGATGAAGTAATTGTACGAGTATTCGGAATTGTCTAATTGAGTCTCTAAAAAGTATCATCCTGTCCTGATCGTAATCGCAGTTTTCACTTGCATGAATCGTCTCGATCTCAAGGGTTCGTCTGCGATCCTCGGGGACCAATGCCGAGAAACGAGACAAAAAACCGCGGCGAGCTTGCCTGATGGCCCCGACGGGCAATTTAGAAACGTGACGCGGAGAGAATTATGACGCATACAGTAGCATTCAATTAGTTGGGCCGTACCGAAAGTTAGCGTGAAAGTAGATCCTCAAATGCCTTCGAAAGCAATTGTACATAATTAAAGCGTGTATATTAAATATAAAGCATTGTAGATAATGATGGGATTTAAACCGTCTCAAAACTTGAATTAAAGGTCGAAACATCTTGCAAGACTTGTTATGTTTGAAAGTCTTGAGAAGTCTTGAATGTCTGTAATACATATGTGTATGCTATATTATTTAAAATATTGAACATATTTAAGACACATACAAGACTTTCAAGCTTTTCAAGATTTTTCATGCAAAACAGTCTTGCAAGATTTTGAGACTTTTGTTTTTCGATCATTCTTGACTTAAAAATTTGCAAGAATCTTAAAATCACTAATTGTAGCCAAATTTAAAGCATCGAATATTGAACGATTTAAATATTTCAAAATTGACTAATTAATTCTTTATTAAAAAATACTAAAAAATTTGTTTACCATTTTAGTTTATATCTATAATCTCTATAATTTTATTTTTAACCGTTTTTAATCAATAATAATTTTCTGAAAAATTTTCTTTACTTAAAAGATATGTTCGTGATTATATTTTAAATGAACCGGTGATGCGCGTGACTTAATGTCACCCGGCATATAGCGTATTTAGCGCTAAATGCACGGTATGAATAACATGCGACACATGTTCTGTACCACACATACATATATTTGACATCCACACCACGTGTTGCTCTCGTGGGCGCGATACAAGAGTGTCGCGCCTCAATCGACTTTCAACTATCCTGTACTCGACTCGTATGTATATCTTCGCATTAGATATTCGTTCATTTCTATTTCGATCATTCAACATTGCGACAAAGTGTGAAAATTTCTATTAATTTATAATAAACTTAATGAAATTAAATAATATTTTATGCTATTTTTTTATATTTATCTGCGCATTTATTTACGCATCATATAATAATTATAGGAGCGGTTTAGTTTAATATTTACTCAACCAATTTTTATATATTAGACAAACATTAGGAAGCGACGATACCGATAAGTTATTGATATTAATTTATATCGGAAAAGGTAAATCGTCGACTGATAAATCTTACAGACTCCTCGTGCGCTGAATTGTTGATAAACATGAAATCGCGTGTGCAAAGTGTTTAATGAGATGCAACAAGACGCCGATTGACGCATCGACGACTCGCGCACCGACACGATGTAGGTACTTTCACTATGACTCAACTTGACTCATTCATTGCCGTTCGCCGTGTGATTAACACGGAAATCATTTGGTGACGTCAGTTAGTTATCGAGAACTTCCACGGAATAAAAAATGATGTTCGCGGTTTCGCGTCGCATCTTTTTTCGCTTCAGCGAACGACAATTTAAACTTTGCTCTCTTATCGAACTGATATGAAAGTCAAATATAGGCTGTCTTGAAGTTAAACATTCTCAGATTAGGAATAACGGATCGATACAACTGCTCGATAAAATTCAACGTACTTCGTAACAGTAATAAAAGAAAATTCTGTTAAATTCCATTGGTTTCCTTATTTTAAAAAATAAGTAAGTAAAAAGAATACCTAGATTTTTTGTCACACGTTATTTTAAACGTGATAAGATATTATAAAATTGTTATATTTTTTATAAATATATGTCAAATCTAAAAATTAAAAAAAAAACAATAAAAAAAGGACTGCGAGAATCAAGCGCAAACAATTTTACAAATCAATACAGAATAAAATTACAAAATTGACCAAAAAATACAAAACTACAACACTACTAAAAATTAAAAACAAATTAATTATAAGACTTCAATTTTACTTTAAAATCAATTTTTTTTCTTAGTTTGTTAGTTTCTTTCGCGATATGCAATTTAGCAATAATTAGTTACTCATAATATCAGATTATCTTATCAGTAATCGACAACAAAATATATGTAACGTAACAACCGCTGCAGTCGACGCGACGCGTTAATGCGTTCCCATGTCTTCCGTGGCTTTCATCGCTTTTTTTGTCGCGAGGGGACGCCTAGTACCGGGTGTCCGTTAATTTCCCTTAATTAAGCTCAATCGGGGTTAATGCACCGCAGCTTGACCCCAGTTTACCAAATCCAACGCACCCTCCGCAACTATGCGTTTGCGCATAGATCGTATACAATCGCGGATCGATAAATAGATTTGCAATTCTCGAGATTATACAAACATAAGTGCGTGCGTGTACTTTTGCCATTTGTTAATGTGCAGAAATTTTTTTTGGATTTATTCAATAATAAAAATATTATAAAGTATAAAAATTATAGATTAAGATTTTATAATTCAGTAAATTAATTTGAATTAAAAATTTATAGAAAACGCAATAAGTTGCACTGTCAGCAACTTGTATTAGTCAACATCTACCTGAATAATTATTCGAATTACAGGAAATCGACTCATGTATGTTTCGAGTTCGTAAGATTAACATTACACAAGTCTCAATAACATAAGTGACTCATGCATTTGTAATCTATAGTCATTAGCAATCGTAGTTTGGTATCAAGATAAATAGTGATTGAAATGAACGGAAGAAGTTAAGAAAAACAAAGGAAAAATTGAATTATAAATTCTCAAGTATATAAAATTAATATGTAAATTCGAATACTTGAAAGATGACGCATATATGCTAACAATTGATTTGATGTAGATATTGAAATAACAATCGGCAGATCTTCCAACCAAGAAACCCATTTATTTTAATTTGCATATACAATATTTATAATTATAAACTCCATCTAAACTGTATTCTGTATTTGAATAACAATCTTAATTATTAAAAAGAAAAAAGAGATTGCATGGAATAAACATGATGGGAATTATAAACGACAAACAGAATTGACAAAATTTTTATTATCCAAAATATATGGAATAAAAAAATTACACTGCTTAATTGTCGCGATCGACATTTTTCAATGATTTTGATTCTTATATAGAAAAAATTAATTTTGACAAATGCATAAATTAATATTTTGTTTGTATTTTACTCTTATTAGATTAAGATAAATTAATAAATAATTAATTGTTGTTATTTAAAAAATTGTATAAAGATTAAAAGAATTTAGTTTGCCAATTTAACGATCTTGCTATTTTGATAAAGTTTAAAAATTAGTCTGCTGTTTCAATGTGCAGATTTACGAAAAATTATTACAGAATGTCACACATTGTTGCTAATAAAATACAAAATACTTCAATTAGCACAGCCGTTAATAGACGGAAAAGACGTGTTGAAAGACGACGAAGAATTGGTATCGTTCGCCGAGTGCGTGTCGCATTATCCTCCGTAAATCCTCCAGACGACCCACTTCCGCGGCGCCCTACGTCAGCCCATAAATGATAATAAATTCTTACGGTCTTCTTTCCTCACCGCAAGCCGTCCCCCTACTATTGTCTATGGCGGAGAATTAATTTTAATACGCCTCGCACGCGTGCGATATTTGCATAACGCAAATGTCAAGCGTCCCACGCGTCGTCGGACAATCACTTTCGCGGGTTCCTCACTTAAAGGCAATTTTCGCCACGAGCCAAACGTAAATCTACTACGTCGTTAAATCTTGTTACGATTACTGTAATAACGATTATTTAATCGACAAGTCTTAAAAGTGCATTTTATTTCAAAAGTTATCCTTAGTTTTTTATTAAGAGATCTATATTTTGAAATAATCTGTATAACTTAAATAATTTGAATTTTTTAATAAATTTTACGTTATTATTCGATTATTGCGACAAGTGTTAAAAGACTCTTGACGGCATCGTGGCGCGACAGATGACAGATAAATTCGCGGCAACGCTTTTCTCTCACTCTCTCTCTCTCTCTCTTTCTCTCTTAATTCAGGAAATAGCTTCGCAACAAGTGCGTCGTCGCATCCGCTTTACGTCAGATCGCTTTGCGCGTACAGAAATTGTAGATCACGGTTACCCCTTCGTGGGAATTCCACATCTGTCTCCTTTGTTCGCGATAATAGCGTGTCCGAGTCATTTACTGAGGAGGGGAAATAATGCATGCCCATTGTGTTCGTTATGATCTCACACACATGCACATTTTCAGCGCATTTCTAATTTTCCTAATTTCCCTCGAGTAACAAATAGCGATAATTGAGATATTAATTTCGAGACGGGCTGTTTTTTCTTTTTTTTCACGTTTTATTCGAGTATTTCAGTTTATGCGAAAAGTGTCCGCGCGATTAGTCATCCGGCTTTAGTCATTCGGCTTTAGTCATTCGCTCGAATATTTAATTCCGTTCTTTGCCCGTGAATGTCGCAGACCTTCGAGGTCGGTCGAGGCCGGATGGAATCGTTGGACCGGAACCTTGACACCTTCAGCATGGCCGGGATAATGGACAACGTGGCTACGTGGATGCCGCGCGTCACGGACAACACCACAAACAGCATCGTCGATGTGGAACTATCGAGGTACAATGATCTTTTGGGAAATATATATACAATATTCTTTTGGATCCCTTTCTTGATGCAGTCCTTCGTTAATTTAAAATTGATTTTCTTTCTAATTAAAATCACACAATCAAAACACGTAAAGCGCTTGAGTGATTAACGATTGAAGATAAGTTTCTGTGATAAATTTAACTTTAGAAAAGAAAATAGATAAAAAAATATAGAATTCTTCAAGTAATTTTACTTTGACTTAAATTGAGTAAAATTTTCTTTATTTGTTGCTCGATTAAAGCAAATATCAATGTTATGCCATTCTCGTTGTCAGTTGTGAGAAATTTTGCATATATTTTTTACATATGAAATGGAAAAATTAAGATTAATCGTAGAATTATCAATTTTGACGCATTTTAAATGATTGCGCCGAATGTTTTAATTTCAACGAATATCAAATATTTATCAGTGCAAACTGAATTAACAAATGCATAATCTCCATTTTTACTTTAAACTCTTGGAATTTGCTTATTCATGAAATAGCCTTTATATTATCTTATACCTAAATTTATCTAAATTTATTGATATTTAAATTAAAGTGGATTTCCGCCAACGAATATAACACATCAAAAACAATCTTATCGCTGATTTATTATCTTTATTTATGATTGTTTACTCATGATTATTTACATTACAGATTTCCGAAGCCTTTGAGGACTTTCGCAGCGGTAGTGGCCATCATCATCATGATTATTGGTCTGGTTGGCAATCTACTGACGATCGTTGCTCTTTGTAAATATCCCAAAGTTCGCAACGTTGCGGCAGCTTTTATCATAAGGTAAAATTATTTATTTTTACGTTTATTTAACTAAAGTATAATGAAAATTATGCAAATTTTTAAAAAGAATTAAAGTTAAAATAATTAAATTCAGAAAGAAATAATCAAATTTTTTAGCATATTTTTTTTTAATTTGGCATTTGTTAAATATTTTAAAATACACCGAAAATGCGCAATATTTCGATGCTATCTAAAGTGTGATTGTTTTCGGTTTTTTTTTGTAATTTATGACGCTGCATACGTATGCTGTTATCTGTTCGTTACTATCTTGCTATTATCACTTGTCGTATTGTCACGTCATTCTGTATTGTATATTTTCTTAAATTGATATTGTAATAAGTAAAATAACCTCGTACGCGATAATTATAAATTAATAAATCGCGTTTTTAATCAACATCTTTGGATGGATTTTCAAATATTTTTATTCTGTAAATATTTATTGTTAATTTTAATTTGTAATTTATTTATTCATATATTTATACGTTATGGTAGAAGATTAAAATGTTTTAAAACGCAAACGTATATTATTTATCATACGCGAAGACGCGGAACGCAAGTAGTTTAGGCGTAGCATAAACGCGACGATGTGCAAAGTAAATTAACAATTAAATTTTCGATTTTTCTTTTCGTTGCCTGCAAACGGATATTTAGAGTTTTAGAACTTTTGTCATTTTTCTGAATGTCTACGTTAATTAAACTGAAATTAATCAATCGTTGATGCAACAGTTTATGTTTCGCGGACTTCGTGTTCTGCCTGCTGGTGCTGCCGTTTGATTCCATTCGGTTTGTCAACGCCAGCTGGACGGATGTACGATTCTTCTGCATTTTCGTGCCTTTTTTGAGGTACGGAAACGTCGGCGTCAGTCTTCTGTCTGTCGCAGCTATTACTATCAATAGGTGAGTATCTTTTTTTATTTCGAAATTTTCCCGGATTAATAAAATTTAGTGCACAACAAAATTAAAGTGAATATAAAATTATAGATAAAATTTTGATTTCTTTCAGATATATTATGATAGCGCATCATGCTATATACAGCAAAGTTTATAAGAAATACTGGATCGCCACGATGATAGTCTTCTGCTGGTTGTTTTCTTACGGAATGCAGATACCAACACTATTAGGAGTGTGGGGTAATTTTAATTAATTACTATCGATGATTATTTCATTATTTATAATCCGAGGAAAATTGTCTAAAAGATTTCAACGAAAAATCATCGTATTTATTTAAAGAAATCTTGCAATCAATATTAAAGTAACAAACGTTTAAATTGCCATTGCTCGATTTTTAGAAATTTAACAAAGAACAGTGATTATTTGATCGAACATTTAATACAAATTTGCATCAAAGTATTTTAAACGGTGATAATTTTGCGAATTTTGAGAGAATTAATAAATAATATCGATTGTTTGATAGACCGATTATTAAAATAATTGGTTTTAATAATCGGAGATGATCTTTCGATCGAAATTAAAACCTTTGCATTTAATATTTTATTTTCAATTGTGGCTCTTGATCAGGAAAGTTTGACTTCGATCCTAATCTGGAGACCTGCTCCATCGTGAAGGATCGTTACGGTTACACTTCCAAGACGTTTCTTTTTATCATGGGATTTTTGATACCCTGCATGGTGATCGTCGGCTGCTACGCCAAAATATTCTGGGTGGTACACAAGTAATTCACGTTTTTGCAATGGAATATCTTTTTTTTACAGCCGTTGCTCTCTCATTATATTAATTGATCGAATTCTAATTAACGTTGCAGATCTGAATCGAGGATGCGAAAGCACGCGGGACCGACGATAAAGTCGCCGCACACGCCCGGCAGAGACATCAGAGAGCTAAAGCAAAAGCGCAGCGAGTGGAGGATCACGAAGATGGTGCTGGTGATCTTCCTCAGCTTTCTCGCGTGCTATCTGCCGATCACTATCGTCAAGGTGGCCGACGCGCAGGTCAGATGTCCCGGTAAGTATAGACTCAGAGAACAAAAAAGAAAACAATACAAGCCAAATCTCGATGGTTAAAAAAATTTATAAAAATTGACGTATTAAAACATTATTTCCGCACTTCAAGAACAATTCCAGAGATTTTTCTTTGCTGAAGCACAAGGGAAAGCAATCATTGTATCGAAAGAAGTATCTTCTTCTCTTGCATCCTTTGATCTTTGAAAGAAGTAGCGGCTTTTTTATCTTCTTTTTTTTATGCTGATTTTAATTTATAAACCGTATAACACGTCGAACACGTTTCAGAGTGTCACGTTCTGGGATATCTGCTGTTGTACTTTGCGTCGTGCGTGAACCCGATCATCTACGTGATCATGAACAAGCAGTACAGGCAGGCGTACGCCGGCGTGATCGGCTGCACGTGGATAAGGATGAGTCTGACACCGTACGGCAGCAGTGCGCCGGGCGGCGTCGGCGGCGGTCATCAGGGCCACCATCAGCAGGACCAAGGTAACTTCGAGCAACGTCATGCGGTAACTCTCACCAAGCTCTGATCGAGCTAAGCGACCACTCGCTCACTTCGTAAGTCAAGGGCACCAAGTTCGCTGCTTTCCCTAAGTTGATTTGCCGCTCTGGTTAATCGTCGCTTGGTCAGTCTGCGTTGTGTGTTGTGTGCTAACAATCGATTAATCGCATCCCTCAATCGTTGATTGATACTTGAGCTTAACACGTTTCAAATTGTTCTGGAGCACGAATGAGCGAGACACAGTGGACGACTGTCGTTGAATATTTCAACGACTTTGAGAATTAACAAGTATTTATTATTAACAAGTAGTGATTTGTCTAATTACAATTTCTAACGACTCCCTGCTATCTAATAATCGATTCATATGTAATGAAGACTTTGTGCCGACAGTTGAATCAAGGCTGGTTGAAATTTAGAAGGCATACATTTAGAGTTATTTTTTTAGCAATTTTAACTACTTTAAAATACAATACTCTACATATGATAGTTTTTTTAACATTTTACGACTATTAATAATTTGTTTAACTTCTTGAATCTTTTATATAGTATTATATAAAATTTTTTTCAAGAATCATGTATCTGTCATTGCTTAAGAAAAGCCTGCTTTGCTATCTATCGTCGATTGTCATAATTATTTGTTTCCTTCGCGTACTTAAAACGTAAATGCGATTGCAACTATGAAAAAAACAGTCAACGTTTTATTTTTCAATTGCAGACTATTCGAAAGATTTCAGTAAAACGATGGTATCGACGGTTTCTATCGCCATGAATCCTGTGCGAGGTGCGCAATTCCAAGAAGAGCCGTGAAGAACTGTGCCAGAAGCTGACGTCGAAAGATGGAAGAAAGAACAGATGTCTTTCTGTTTATGAAAGGAAAGAAAGGAAAAGAAGAAAAAAAAAAGAACGAATTAATCCTCGTAACAGCGTAACTGTGTTATCGAGCCGGATTATATTTTCTTCATACTTTAGTATGATTGAATACACACTTTATAAATTCTCTTGCTAAAAGCAAGCAAATTTTAAATATGTCGTACGAATATTTAATTTCCGAGACACTCGGAATAGTCGAGAAGTTACCTTAGCTGCAAACCAGATTTTTACCAAAGGTTGTCATATATTTGTTGCATGTTGTAAATAAAACACAATAGATTTATATTGTCTTATATTTAAAATAAACATTTTATAATTGGAGTAATAATTATAATAAATAAGTTATTTGTGTCAGTTCATTAGAGTTACGTAAATTTGTAAAAAGAACTACGTTAAAGGTTAATCTGTTATAAATATATTAATCTATAAATAATGTATGTTTAAAAACATATATATATTTTAATGTGTGTGTGTGCGCGCGCGCGTGTGTGTGTGTGTAAAAGATGAAAAAACATTAGATAAAAATAAAAAATCATACCTGAAAAATCATACCTAAAAAATAAAACATTTAATTAAAGGCTGAAACACTTGTTAGTACATTTGCAAGGTCAATACTTCTAAAAAATGTGTAGATAAATATTTATATATATATATATATATATATATATATATATATTATTATTTTACTTT